TAGACGGTGTGGTATTCGTTATACGTCTAGATTTGTACATAACTGTTAACATAAGTATGCAGTAAGCAGGTAAACTTTGTTTTTGCCTAAATCCTCAACAAACAATTTGCATCTTTACTATTACGAATTATTTATTGATAACAAGCTTATATCAACTATGGAATGTTCAACTTTAATGTTTGTTATATTTATTCCAGGCTTGTTTAATTCTTGGCTCTAAAATATATACCAACTATAAGCCAACTAAAATGTATAACAAACCAGTTATTTTCCAGGATTTAACGACCTAATGAACAAAACTGATACAACTCTTTCGATAAGATAGCTGTTTTTAATAAATTGTATTACCATGTTAAGTACTAGTTATGACAACTTAAAACTATTTAAAAGTTAGCTTTAAATGCATTGAGGAACCATGTTTTGAGTTACATTGACCGCAATTCTCAAGTCCACAATTGTATCCATATTGTCCGTCATCTGTAAAAATAATCACATTTCAAAATCCGTGATATATTTGATGTGTAGTTGATAAGGGTGAAAACGATTTTTCCTACAGTCACCCGACAAAGTTGGCTTCCTTGCACTGTTTATAGTACAGAAAGCTGCTAATTGCTGAATTTACTTACTTTGTCGCACGGTTTATACTTGGTGGTACGATTTATACTTTGGCGCACATCAGGGTTCAAACCAAACAACACAAAACAGGGTGGTTTTATTATGCACGTAATCCGTGTACACTTGGAAATAGGTCGGCAAAACTTAAGATAATAATACTATGATAACTGTACTAGAGTTATTGTACAATGATAACCTGTACTAATAACTACAGTTGGTTGCTTGAATTATTATTGTTCCTTGGGAGGGATAAATATTTCAAAAAGTTTCCTCGCTACCTGCAGAACCCGCGTGGCAGTTCAAACTGTTTTTAAATCCTGCAAAACTGACCCTTATAATCCACACTAATGATCGTGGCGGTTCAAGTATCTCGGGACGGTCATAAAACTCGTGGCGGTTCAATATTCCCCTATTTAATACGCAAGCAGGTTTTTTGTGACAATTACCTACTCCTCCGAAACTACTGAACCGATTTACATGTTCTTGGTGTCATTGGAAAGAGCGTAACGTGAAGTTGTGCAGGAAACTTTCTTTTTAGGGAAATAATTAGAGGGTGAGGCCCTGGGGCCCTTTAGCACAATTTGTTTTTCAGGATTAATTTTGCCAACAGTGTCATTTAGAGGCTTCTGATAGACTATAATGATGGTTTACTAATTGAAAAATTAGTTTTGTTCATAGAATAAAATTATAAATGCCTCAAATTCAATTTTATATTTTTTATTATGAAATTAAACCGTCATAACCTAACCGAACCAATCAAACGTGCTGACAATGAAAAAATCTATAATTTGTTAATTATAAAATTAAACTATCATAACCTAACCAAACTAACCAGACTTGCTGATGATGAAAAATCGAATGAAGGTTTAATCGAAAAAAAAAACATTTCTGTTCATAAAATAAAACTATAAATGGGTCAAATTCAATTTTATAATGTTTTAATTATAAAATTAAACCGTCATAACCTAACCAAACTTGTTGATAATGAAAAAATCCAATACAAAAAAATAGTGCTACGGGTGGGATTCGAACCCGGGTCCCTTGGATTATCTACCCAGCATTCTACCCACTACACCACCGAGGCCCTTGGCATCAAATCGTATCGTTGCGGTAATGATGTTCTCTCAGCCAATCAGAAGCCTCAAAATAATACTGTAGGCAACACTAATCCTGAAATAAAAATTCAGCGGCCCTTTAAAGTTTCGTATTTCTCCATAAGATTAACATGGGAAACAAATATTGTTATGAAACTCCAGCTGTTGTCAGAAATTAAAAGTGAGAAGAAGAACATATGTTAATTGTAAACAGTCAATAAGTTTGCTTATTTAACAGTTAGTTAGTTTGCCACAAACATTTACTTACTCGGTTGAAATGAAATAGTTACTATTTGAATTTGGGTTGGCGTAATTATTACAATGGGAAAAAACGAGAGAGCCTGGATAAATTGATATACTAAAAAGAAAACTGAATTAACACTGTGCTGAATTTCTTAGTAATCATTGAAAGAGGCGATTTGCAAACTATGGAAACATAGGAAAGTCATAGAACACCACCAAGGGGAAGAAATAGAAATAATGTGTGTTATAAACACTAAAAGACAAAATCAGCTTTTGAAAAATGATAAGATATTTACAAGAAATGTTGATTATATCGATCTGTTATGTACATCTTGAGTATTCCATAATCTTTGAGTCGAATCTTTTATAGTCATAAAAAAATATGACTGTTATTCGTTTTAAAATAACACCTGTAATACTTAGCAATTGCTCGATTTCGAGCAACAGTGACACTAGTTAATTATAAAACATGTTGTTGATATAGTATAAAATGTACAGTAAAATTCAAAAATTATATTCTCTACTTGTTAGTCTACTTATAGAGCTAACTGTACACATTGGATTGACTGAACAGTGGAGTAAATGAACAGGCAAATAATTTGTAAAATTACTTTTTGGAGTGAACCATCTTGGAGTGAATGAAACATCTCGATAATTACAACTCTAAAAGTTGTTGCGTTATTGCCTGCTTGTATAGCCTTCATCTATGGTGATGCAATGCCCGCCCGCATCTTAGACCTTCCGGGACTCGAATCTTAGACCTTCCGGGACTCGAATCTTAGACCTTCCGGGACTCGAATCTTAGACCTTCCGGGAATTAGACCTTCAGCAACTCTCATTTTATAAACATTTATTTAAAAAAGTTACATTGTGTGCCCAAGGTCTAATCCCGCAAGGTCTAAAACAGTATCAGTGGATGAGTTTTTTGCATTGACTGTACTCTTAGACCTTCCGGGACTTAGACCTTCGACATACTACCAGATTAGACCCTCAGCAACAAGTACAAACTGCAAAATGTGTGTCGAAGGTCTAATTAGACCTTCAGCAACTGATCCTGTTTTCTGATGGAGTAAGCTATTGCTAGGAAATAAAAAATTTCATCGGAAATTATGTGTATACACTATAACAAAAGTTCGAATGCGAGTTAAACCTTACAGTCATTTCCTAGATAAAAAATTATCTTTCACTAGAACCTATATTTTAACGACCCTGATATCGTAACTTTTTACTTTACTTTTTTCTATACGAAATCTTATTCGGTGAAAAGGAGGAGGTATAATACAACAATTGTTATATAATATGCGGCCATTCACTGGTGCGATGATTTATGTGAAAAAAATTGAATTTTTCGACTCAGACATTATACATAAAGTTGTATCATCGGGAAGTACAAGGAAATATGGGCAATACATTTCAACGATTTCGTACAATGTAGCTTAGTAGTATATTTTCCCATGTCATTTACAAGTAGAAAATCGACCTTAAACGGTCATTCACTGGTGCACTCACCCTTCGATATCGAATGTAAAAAATGTCAATTTTTGCATTTCCACTGCTATTATATAGAGAAAGTATATTAATTGTTAAAATAAATAAATTTTAGTGAATTACCTATATGGGCAATAAGTTATTACCGTAGTACACATGGTAAGACCTGGACCCGGGACCAATTAACTTTTTTGTTTTAAAGGTCCCTAGAGGCCAAAAACACCAACCAGCATGATCGGACCATGGGAACGGTGTTAATATAAGGGGTTTTATGGAGTGAAAATTGGTTTTTCTCATTTTGACCCTTAAAACAAACAAATTAGCAATTTATTTCTAAACTATTTTGTAGAGCTTAAAAAAAACAAATAATTTAGTATATTGAAGCATTATTATGCGAATAATGGTTACGAAGAAAATATTAAAAAAATATAAATTTAAAACCCCCATGTTATGTTATGGAGATAAAGTAAACTGATGTTGTTTTCTTGTTTATGAGCATATTTTGTGCACTAAACTATTACAATTTTACAACAAAACTTTTTTACCCTCCCTGTTGCAGCAAACCTAGAGTACTCGTTAAACTATTGCTATTTAAATAGGGAATAAATTCGATATTTTTAAGGAGAATTAGGCAAATGGAAATTTCCTTTGTCTGCAGGTTTGCTGTGGTTGGGGTATTTGTATTTACATTTTGGGATTTCTTTCGTCCAAATTGTTTTTACATAATATATTGTGTCTGTATATTTGCAGCGATTTAATGAAAACTTCTGGACCAACTTCCGAACCTTTCCGTTTTCAACAATTTGCTTACATAAAAAAAATAAATCAATCTTTGTTCGGCCGTATCTCAGTTAATATTGAGTCTACAAAATTGTTTTACCAACCAAAATTTAGCATATTTTATGCTCTACAACTTTGGTAGGTACTTTGGCACAATGGTACCCAAAATATGCTTAATTTACAACATATACACAAAAAACATAAAAAATACCAAAAATTTTGAAGTTTTCAGCCTCTCCTAAAGTTAGCACAGGGTGCTAGAGGTTGAAAACTCAGGATATACATCCCAGAGTACCCCCAGACAACATGTAAAAATTTAATCAAGTTTGAATACTTTCCAGGTAAAAAGTGTATATCTACTGGACTATTAGTCATATGTACATATTTTAGTTACTAAGCCCTATTGTTTTTTTCAAAATATTGAAAGTGTTTTTAATTTTGTTTTGTTTGACGATTGATGTATAATCTTGATTTTGACTTTGTCGATGATCTAATGTATCCTTATGACCAATAAAGATTCTTCTTCTTATTATTATTATTACTTCAGGCTAGACCTAGGGGTTGCGGCATTATCACTTAGATGAAATCCATTGGTGTTTTGGCGGGATTTGAACCTGGGACCTCTTGGGCCGAAGTCCCGCGCTCTAACCAGTAGACCAGCTCGCACCCCAAGCCACTAGTGATAATATAATTCTAGAATGACAATTGTCAGTAGAGCTAACCAAAGGTGAAACAGTATCCAAAGTTGAAAGGTCTAACTTTGTCAATTTTGTGTGACAGCACAAGGGGACACATGTATACAGAGAGGTTTTGTCAATCATGGAAGCTATGAAGGCAAGTGTTTGTTTTTCTCACGAGATGTCTTCCCTCTCCCCTACTCAAGCCCTCCAGCTCTTCAAAGAGTCCCTTCCAGCTCTGCCGTTTCATCGAAACATGAATTTGATTGAGGAGTTCATTAAGTATATGTTGGAACGGTATGTTCGGTTTTTTATCCAAATTTACTTTATCATATGCTATATAAACCTATGGGAGTACTTTAATTTGCATGTATGTCTCAATTTCTTTTTCCTTGTTGTGTAGTTTTCATGTTTGGTATATTCATAATTAAGTTCTCTTTGGCATAACAAGGTGCATCAATGATTTCTTCTATGTTATCTTTGACAGTAGTAGTTAATATATCAATAACATATGGTAATTGTTCAACATATGTTTTGTGTGTTATTGTTTATATTTTGATTGAGTTTTTGTTAAAATAGAAATACACAACCTTTCATGAATTCTGTATAATTATTTAATAATTAATCTAATGACAACATATGTTTTGTGTGTTATTGTTTATATTTTGATTGAGTTTTTGTTAAAATAGAAATACACAACCTTTCATGAATTCTGTATAATTATTTAATAATTAATCTAATGACAATCTTAATCAGAACAAAAGGCATAAAACAATAAATCTTGACATAACATATTTACAATATATTTTAATTGAGAGCCAATTTGCCAGGAATGAATTTAATGAAAAAGCATAGAGATTGGTTAGCTAGCATTCCAGAGCAAATTAGTCCAGGATGTAATAGAGACACAATAAAAGAACACAAAACATAACAATGATATACGCTCAGACATAAAGAAGGCTGCTCAGGTGACTAGAGCTCTGTTGGCTCACTCAGACACAGCCATCACTCTGGAGACATACAGGGTGTGTCACAAGGTTGTGTCCTCAGTGCTGGTGGGTCCACGACATTACTAATGTAATCTGTACCACAGGCCAGACTTGACAGACTCAGACATAGAAGAGGCTGCTCAGGTGACTAGAGCTCTGTTGGCTCACTCAGACACAGCCATCACTCTGGAGACATACAGGGTGTGTCACAAGGTTGTGTCCTCAGTGCTGGGTCCACGGCATTACTAATGTACTCTGTACTACAGGTCAGACTTGACAGACTCAGACATAGAAGAGGCTGCTCAGGTGACTAGAGCTCTGTTGGCTCACTCAGACACAGCCATCACTCTGGAGACATACAGGGTGTGTCACAAGGTTGTGTCCTCAGTGCTGGGTCCACAGCATTACTAATGTACTCTGTACTACAGGTCAGACTTGACAGACTCAGACATAGAGGAGGCTGCTCAGGTGACTAGAGCTCTGTTGGCTCACTCAGACACAGCCATCACTCTGGAGACATACAGGGTGTGTCTAAAGGTTGTGTCCTCAGTGCTGGGTCCACAGCATTACTAATGTACTCTGTACTACAGGTCAGACTTGACAGACTCAGACATAGAGGAGGCTGCTCAGGTGACTAGAGCTCTGTTGGCTCACTCAGACACAGCCATCACTCTGGAGACATACAGGGTGTGTCTAAAGGTTGTGTCCTCAGTGCTGGGTCCACAGCAGGCACTGAGCAACATAGACCCTGGCCCCAGGATACTGTTTCTCACACACACATCAGTACTGGTGGAGATCACATGCTTTGGAGTCACCAGTCTTGATAACAGGGTTTGTTTCTTCAACAATTACATAAAACATCCAGCCATGTTTTGAATTTCAACTGATTTAATTGATTAAAATATAACTATTTAAAATATATTATTATTAGAATGTATTAAATTGCTTTTTAATAACATAATAATAACTAACTACTACCTGTTACGTACACGGCATACATATGCTACATACAGCATAGTTTTAATGTTTTTTGAACCCAGTGACAAGACCTGTATTATACAGTAATTATTTACCTATTTTGCCTGAAGGTCTTGTAGTTAACACTCGATTAACACTCAATTAATCGAGTGTTAACTACAAGACCTTCAGGCAAAATAGGTAAATAATTACAGCATAGTTTTGTTACATTTCATACCTCAGTAACAAAATATAATGTTTAGTATGTATAAAACTGCGTGAGAGGCTAATCAACTAAGTTCTTCTTGAATAAAGCATTAGCTACAGCTGATAATTAGATATGGGATATACGTTTAATATTAACCCTAGCAGTGGCCAATGTTAGAAGTGGGGAATGGCCAACCCATTTTGGAGATTTTGCAGACACAAGTTTTTTTTTTTTTAATTCGTAAAAGTTCAACCGTACAAGTAAACCTAGCCAACCTTATATTTATTTTGTTTGGAAAGAATAGGAGAATCTAGAAATAGTAATATAATAATGATTTAGCTGGAGTATTTTTTCGGTTAAGTGAAAAAAATTAAAAAAATTAGAATTTTTTTTAAATTTCAAAAGCACTCAGTAAAATTTGTTCTGCAGATGTTTTATTGGGAATTCATTATATACATTTTGTAGCCAATCTAATTCCCTTACATAGAAATATATAACATGTTAGGAAAATATTTTTTTATAAGTTTTTGGGGAGAAAATAATAACAAACGGAGAACCGAAAAAATTGAAAACCGTACGTACAGTGTTAGTTTGTGTTGTAAAAAGTTATATTATATATGTGTATACTTAATAATACTTAATAATGATATATACATCTTTGTAAAGCTAATGAAGTCAGGAATCCAAAAAAGTCATAAAGTTTATGATAAAAATAATTTTTTATTTATAAGTAAAATAATGTTTTTATATTTCAGTGATTTGTAACACTTTTTGATTTGTTTCGACTTTTGTACCAAATGCTTTTACTTCAAACCAACATAATTATCTTGTAGTGTATTCAATTACATACATAAAAAAACAATTTGTATTGTTGTGGGTAACAATTTTTGTTTTTACGTGTTAGGGGCATAATAATATTATAAACGGAAAACCGCAAGAAAAATACAAACTTTTATAAACACAATTTCACACTATTCAGTAAATATTCATGCATGATAAAATTCATGAAGGTTACTGTTATATACACATACACATTTCTCTAACAATACGGAATAATAACAAATTTAGTAATAAATCGCGGATAAAACGAGAGCGGAAACTCCCCGACAACAACACGCAATGGCGAATACAAGGCACTTTGTGTATGAGACCTTGACAGTAGTGACGGACTTTTGTCGTCTTCTTGAGAAAAAACGTAAATATCCCTGATCGCAGGGCTGCCACTATTACAAGCTACATTTCTTCCTCTTCAAAATGACATATTATATGACTAGTAATAATAACTTACACTGTATTTATAATTCGTAATATTCGTATTTCCGTACTAGCGTATTACGCTGGTTGGCCATTTGTTATAAATTTCAAAAACAGCTGTTTTCATAAAATTGTACCTGTTTTGCAATCGATATTTCGTTCTAAATATCAATACCACAATGAAGATAAAATCAATGGCTATCCAGTGGTACCACCCGCAACATTTCAAGACGAAAATTACCCGAGCAGAGTAATGCCAAACAAGTTGTGTTTTGACAGTTCCCAAGTGTCAGCTGCAAAAGTCGTGCCACGCCAAAAATTCATTTGATTTCTAATCGTCGTGACATCATTATATACCTGCTACAGGGTTTGTTTATACAGTATAATAAAATGAAAGTTCAGAATGAGATCTTTCGAATGGTATATATATTGTTCACATCACAGTTAATTATAAGCGGTTTTTCACTGTTAAAAAATGTCGGCCCATACTAGCGTATTACGCTGGTAGCCATTCTAGGCGGCACGGCAAACGAGCATATTATGCTTGTTGGCCACTGCTAGTGTTAACAATCAATTGTTTTATCCAGAAGGCAAAAACATGCATTTAGGCAAGTCAAATGTAGATTATCCAAGAGTAAATGCAGGTACCCCTAGATAGCAAATGCATAACATTATCTGTAGGTTTTAGTTTTAACAGAACTAGCCTCAATATATAACAAGAACAAATGTACATTTATATCAGTCAATGAAAATAACAATTTAATTACTCATCAAACCACCGAAGTCTCTATCTCAATCCAGTAAAAAATGGCAGCTGGTTAATATCTTTAAAAATCAGAATTAACTTGCAATTTTTTATTCAATTGGCTGCCATATTTTACTGTGTTAAGAGACCTCTAGTTTACGTTCAGGGATCACTCAATGGGGCTTAGTGTTTAAAATTTTTGAGTTTACCCCAAAATCCCCCATTTTGGGTTTGGGAACCAAGTAGCAATTAGGCTCAAAAAGTACTTCATAACATGCCATAAAGGTGTGTAGAGTTTAGTTTTCCTAGAGTGTGCCGTTACAAAATTTACATGGGGTCTCCAGACTTGGAAAGCTGTAAGTTAAATTTAACTACTGAGAATTTCAATAGTCTGTCATTTTTTACTGGATTGAGATAGAGACCTCTAGTTTGCGTTGTTGGTTTTCTTTTACCAGGACCTTCTAAAGGAACATCGATGGGGTCACTCGATGGGTCTTACCTTTTGAAATTTTTTAGTTTCCCCCAAAATCCCTCATTTTAGGGATGTACACAAAGTGGTGGTTATGTTCAAAAAGTAACATAACATGCCATAAAGGTGTGCCGAGTTTAGTTTTTCTAGTATGGGCGGTTAAAAGATTAACAGGGAGTCTCCAGACTTTTTACTAATCCTGTATATCTAGATCTATATGCTTAAGATAATAGGGGTTCTCCCTGTAACATTCCTTTTTCAGCCATTCTACTTAACCGATTTGTTTGTATGATTGAGGTGTCACTTTAAAACTTACGATCTTGGAAACTTAAAAGGAGATTTACTTCAGGGCTTTGGGGGACCCCTAGAGTTTTTGACTTATTTCATTTCAATTTAAAAAAATACAGTGATACCATTTTTCTTTCCAACAATTCAAATGTTAATTGTAATTTAATAAGTTCAGTATGTATGTATGTAATAAGTATCAGTTGATGAAAATGGATTTTAAGTAGGCTACGTTGAGGATTTTACCTGATTGAGATTGAGGTAGGCCGAGGTGAATCACTTTTAATGGTGTGGATCAGATAGATCTAAATTAACCATTATCGTAAGTTTTAGTGATATTCACCATTATTCAAAACTGTCTTAAACAAACCTACACTTTTTGAAAAATAAAAGGGTATGGCATTTTTTGTTTTTCCTCAGAAACATGTTTTGACAACTATTAAAATGGGCAATTTGTGTTCGGGTCCCCTTGTATTGACATAATTATTTTCTGCAATTGAAAGTATGATAGTAAAGGTTAATGATTAATTTCACACAGATTCAGCAAAATGCAGAGGACATCCTGACTTATCTGTTGAAGTGTCAGCTGTTAGTGTCAGAACGTTGGTGGTGTCGTCTGCTGGAACGGATGTCTCCAGTGTTGCCACTTCTACAATGCCACACCAGCAAAATGTCCGCATTGGGACGAGCAGTTTTAAACATGTTAGACCCGGATATTGCAAATTGTTCCATCCTTTCTAACATTCAGGTATGGGTTTCTGATTTTAGACAAAATTCTAGCTGAAGCACACATTCATCTTTTACCTTTCCTCATTCCTAACAAGGATTACTATTGAGTATCAACCCCTAACATATCCCATTTTCGTTCTACAAAGTCTATAAAGTAGGGATGGACGGGATTGAATTTTTAGTTCAGGACGGGACGAGATTTTTTCTTGTGCATAAAAATGGATTTATTTAAATGTCTTGATTATTGCAGTTACCAAAAAAGACCAACAAAATAAATTTTTACCGTTTGTGGCACTGATCTATAAAAACTAAAAAATGGTTAAAAATTTACAGGTATAGAAACATGTGACTCGCAGTCACGGCACGATGGTCGTAATACTCACGGTCATGGCGCGGTGGTCAAAATTACTCCGCGGTCATGGTGTAATCGTTGGTATGACTCGCGGTCACCGTGTGATCTTGGAAATGACTCACGTTCACGGCGCGATCGTCAAAATAACTCATGGTCACAGCGTCTCTCGGTCACGGCGCGATTGTTGATATGACTCACAGTCACCTCAATCATCGAAATGACTTCGCCTCCTGCATTCGCAGAACTATTAACATCTAGCGCCGCAAACATCACCCGCTCGGATCAAATCCCGTCCCGAATCAAATGTAATCCCTTCCCAAAAATCAGAAATATTTTTTTCCTGAAAATTTTCTGAAATTCAGGACTCGTCCATCTCTACTATAAAGAAATGGTTTTTTTTTTAATTTCAAATAAGAAATAATCTTTAATTTCTCATTTTCCTCATCATACACACAAAAAAAAACTGTAAATCCCTTAGCCTACTGTAAGAAAAAAAGATTACCAATAAAATGTTTACATTCATTACTTTAGAAATTTTCTAAGAAGTTGTGTATTATTATCAGGTGTTGTTGGGCAATGCCAGGCTTTTGTTTCACAAGGACACAATCATCCGAGAGGAAGCAGTGGCCAGGCTACTGTGGCTCACAGGATTGACTGATCCTCACAACAAGAGACTTGCAGACTTGTGTGTGTTAGATGTGGCTGTCACAGGCCACACTCCCGTCACTGGTATGTACGAGGTAAGTGGGCGTCTGTTGCCTAGACTTTTTAATTTGGGTCTTGTCAAAAATTGGCCAAAATCGGGTTGCTTTTGAAAGTATTGATAAAATAAGTAGTAATTGTAATAATTTTGATTGGGTTCTATGCAATATTGTACAAGATCTTCCCAATAACTCTGTGAAATTAGGAACATTATCTGCAGTTATGGTACAATCGAGATCACCTTCAACAGAATTGGTGAACATCTTCTAGAGGTGTACAAATATCGAATAGTGATCTTTGGGTTCAAATAGAATCGAATACTTTATAATATTTTTGAATTACGAATATTTACATTACTATTATACACCCCAAATAGTTTTCCGATCACAGCTTTGGAACTCTACTAAGGTTAATAATCCAGATTTTAACCAATGTAACATTTTAAAATAATCTATTTTTGCCTATACTGAAGTTATTTGTTCTTGGTACAAAATTAGTACCGTACAGGGCTTCCAGTATTTTTCTCATTTTATTTCATTGACATTACAATGAAAATGAATAATTTCTAGTGATGAACCACTTTTTTAAAGTCGGTACTGGTACCAGTTCCTAGCCAAAATTGGTTTCGGTCCAGTACTTCGGTACTTCATAACTACCGGTACTTCTGAAGTACTTCTGTACTTCGGTTCGATACTTTATTTTAAATTTTTAGGATAGGGTAGTTAATTTTTGTTTGTTTTTAAAACAAAGTATCCATATTTCAATTTTATAGTATTTTGCATTAGTAGATTGGTCATACAAATCTTAGGGGATTAAGGAAATAAAACTGATTTGTACATAAACAAAACGCACTTAAATTACCAAACATATCTAGGGATGGGTGGGGGAAGCCCCTGATGCTTCTTGACCTGTTTAATTTGTGCTCCTCAGTTTTTTAGAATTTTAACCCGTAAATTATTTGTTTTATGAGTTGTGTCTAATATGTTCACAAGATCACAGATTGTGAAGATGACCTTGATATGGCTGTAATTCTGGCATCAACCGTTCTGAAAGTGAATCATAATTTTTAATTCTTATAAATTATTCAAAATAAGTTAATTTGTAGTGATAGTTTACGCTAAAGTTAAAGGGAAAGAAAGGAAATTATGTTTAGCAGCCTCACAAACTATCTTTTGTTACAGGCCAGCAGTGTAGTGAGGGTAGTAGAGCTGCTGTCAGCTCCCAGTGTCGAGGCTAGAGTACGACAATCAGCCATTACACAGCTGAGTGTAATGACAGAAGACCCGAGGCTACATCAAGTCTTCATAGATAATCGGGGAGTAGAACTCTTCATATCTATTTTGCAACAAGTTATGGTAAGCACTTCAACTTCCCTAAACCATACCCTCCTTCTAATCCTAATATTCCTGATCTTCTTGTGTTACTTATAAATAAGTAAGTAAATTGAGCAATTGAATCAATCGGAAATCTTGTCACAACTACTAATGCTAATCAACCTTGTAACCTTCGCCTTTTTATTTGTAAGGTTAAGCCTTCTTAACTTAAGTTTTAGGCCTTTTTTTAAATTTTACATTATACTTTTTTAAATTGTATCTTTTATAAAAGAGTTAAGGTAGTTGCATGAATTTCTTTTCATCAGGGAAGTCCCATCTTTAATTTCAAAGATGGTAAGACTTGTGGGTTCGGTGTGAAGCTAGTGAACCTAGGCAGAGTCAATGAAAACACCTGTATACAAAAATTATTTTATTTCATATGAATACTACTTATACACATACATGAAAAATAATGTCCACTATAAACTACTGTTAGGCCTACACCCTAGTATCATCAAGATAGTTATTAAGATACACTTAATTTGTCCTTGGCCTAGGCTAATAAGTTACTGTTTTAAATTATTAATTTTCTGTATCCATCTATGACTGAGCTGAGCCCTTGTAAAAGTATTTAATAATAGAAAATGTTTATATATGATGACTCTAGAATTCATAATAAAATTCAATAAATATTCAATATTCAATAAAATAGTAATTGACACACACATGGTTTATTTACCATACCAGGGTGTCTAGTAGTCGGGATTGTCGGGAAAGTCGGGAATTAGTATTGAATTTGAAAATGGTCTTGAAAAGTCGGGATTTAGTCTTAAATTTGATATCAAAGTCGGGAATTTTCGAGATTTTGAAATTGCGGAGAAGACGATGATGACGTTTCCATGGCTGCAGGAGTCAATGATGATGTCTACACAGCCGTGGGAAATAATTATAATTTAGCTACGATTGCGGACGAGGGCGATGACGTTTCCGAGACCACGGGAGATGACAATGATGCTCCCGTCACCGCGGTAAAAGACGATGATGACTACACTTATTATCTGAGACTTGAACAGCGACTGATTTAAGGGTAGAGTTGTGTTTCTGTAAAAGCAATTGCTTCAAAAGGTTTGTGCTCAGGTAAATATAGTTACTGTTGTAGATTAGGTAGGCTATAGTTGCACGTTTACAAATAATATCATGATCGTCAATTGTGTACTGCTGGAAATTAATTTCTATACTATGGATCTGTTGCATAAGTATTGATTTTATGATCCAATCAACAAAAAACAACATAAATATCCCACAGTCAACAGAGTTATTTCCTTGCTGAGGGCAATTTACAATGTTTAATACAGGTTCATTACATGTGACACCTTCTTGGGACTGGATGTATTTAGAAATTCTTGATACAATTGGCCTGGCCGAATTCAGATTGTAATCACTGATAGAGTCAAAATAGTACCACGAGTTCTTAGGCTTTGAAAAAAATAGCAAACTCCAATGAGATCCATTACTGTTATTTGCTAATGCATCATTGACCGGAATTATTAAAAAAGATTTTTTATGCAGTTCTAGAGGCTGGACAACATGTTCAATATCATCCAGACATTTAATAGCTTGGCTGATAACTGGATTTAATAAATATGTATCACTGCTACTTATACCCCCAATGATCTCGAAATATCTTTGTATAGTGTCATCTGTTAACCACTCTTTTTTCATCAGATCAAGACTCAATGATTCATTTTTGCTAGGTTGAATCTCATTTGTACTACAAACTATTTTTTTATCAGCAATAATTGATTCTGGGATACTAACTATACTGCTACTCATGGACTCGGTAATTGTAGAATCTGTTAAACTCCCTCCATGAATCAAAGACTCAGATGTAAGACTTAGGTTGTTTTCATTACAATCAAGGCTTGTCTTAGAAATTTCATTTACAACCAATGAGTTAATATCTCGAAATTGTTCTTCATTGATGCTATTCAATGAATAATCTTTTACAGAAAAATCGAAATCCTCAATTTTCAAAGACAATTTATTATCCAAAATATATTTTGTTAATTCCTTCTTTGACCTAAAAAGTTTTCCTCTTGGCGATCGAATATATACATCTATTTTGCCTTTACTTAAACCTTTTTTCCTCATTACTTCTTCTCGCTGCCACCCTTTTGGCATTTTACTATGGTCATCCTCCAAAACCATTTTTATTTATACTGGCATATATTATCAGTTTTTATGCATAAGTGAATAATAAAATTTATTTATTTATAAATGATGATTATTCAATAACCATTAGCAAACAATTTTTTTCCCACAAATACAAAACAGCTTACTATATAATTTCAATGGAGCTTTAACAAAAATATTGTCTATAGTCTTTGTTAAGCTATTATTTTTATATTGTGTAAACTATTAAACAAATTTTTAACATTTATTTTATTGATTTGTATTGCTATAATTATAACAATTTATAACAATACGGTAGGTGAATGAAATTGTTAAAATTGTTCAGCAGATTAGGAAAATAGGATTCACTCAATGAGCCAAGATTAAAGGTAGTTTCCTGAGAATAAACAATGCAGCTGATAAGAGCCTTGCCGATTCTGCTGCGACATGAAACAAACCCAAGCAGGTTTTCTTAGTTCAACAGGTTTCACTGAGTGCTTTGAGTTTCGTAGTAGCTATTTCTTCTGTTACAAAATAATAGTTCATAAATTAAGCTCACTGTTCTTGAAGAAAATAATTTTTACACTGAAGTTAGTGTTGTGAAAAAAAGTGCTTTGGCTAATATGTGAATAAATATAGGTACCAATTTACAAGTTTCAACTGTTTGATATTGTCACTGTGAACTGGGGTTATAAGCCTAGCAAGTCAGTTCGGAAAACTAGTTTAAAGTATTTTACTATTTCCTGGGATTTTCTTGTAGAGTTTACTACTTACACACGTCCTTATAAGGTTTAACTTCAGGTATGTAACACTTTTAAAACTAAAAAATTACTCATTAATTAAAAAGATTGAATTTAATGAACTGAGTCTATTGCTATTGCTGACAACTAAAATAGTCAAATCAAATAATGGTGTTTCATCATAACCGTTATGTTTATACTCAATGGTTCAAATGAGCTGATCTCATAAATGCAAACAATTTAATAGTGCTGCTATTTTAATGCTATTGAATATCATAGTACTAACTTGATTAGTTAAAACAGCTGAAAAAATTCTATCTATAGGCTACTATCATAAAATTTAGGTGGTATCTGTCTGTCTGTCTCGCTGTAACGTCCAAAACTGATATAGCCAAAATTAAGCACATAGATGGTCCACATTACTAGGAATGTCTTAGACCGATTCACTTCCCTGAGTTCACCTCGGGTTACGTACCGTGGGCGTCCAAAGTTTTGAGGTGAGATTTTCAAAAGTAAATATTGATTAGTATTAGGGGTCTGCGGTGCACCGAAAAAGTCGTACGGTACAAGCTTAATTACCGTCATGGTTCGGTAGGGTACAGCATTTTACGCGGTACAAACTCGGTTCGGTACAACCTATTATAATAATAAACTACAGTTTATTATCGTAGTCAACGCAGTTGGATCCTAGCACATAAAAGGCTTATCAGATGTTTGTTTAGATCTTCATAATTTATTACTAGGGTAGTGATGCAATAAAAAACCATTAGCAGTCCAAAATCCATTAATATTTTATCGCGACAATAATTGTTGTACTCAAGTACTTCCAAGAACTCTTGAGTTTTATCACAATCCTTTACGACTTTCCGTAATAATTATTATGATGATATCCCAATTCTATTTTATCATAAAAATAATAGTTTTTATTATGGCTGATAATTTCCTCTCTAACTCTAGTCAGTATTTTCATATTCTACAATACTAAAATTACTTTTTTCTAATAAAATATTTACATAAAACCAACTACCATGAATTAGTTTCCTTGAAAATATATCAAGGACTTCCCAAATATATTTGTAAAATTACACTCAATTTATTGTCCCAGAAAAATTACAGTTTTAATGAGATGTTGCCTGATTTTATTTTTGTGAAAACTTTCGTTACTTATTTTACAGTAGTAGCGAACTCTAACATTGAAATATTTTTTAGCAATAATTTTAATTAGGTACTAAACAAAAATGATTTTTGTCCATATTGTTTCATATCCTGAGAAATATGTACTATTTGGAAACAAATTTACTCCTACACATTGTCCAAGTACTTTGTTCGTCAAGTCCTCAATTACATTGTTTTCCTTTACACTAATATCATTAACTTTATATCTACACTATTCTCATCAAGCATAGCAGAAGACTAGCGCGCTGCACACGCCGGGACTACTGTCGGGGAAATAAATATGTGCTTGAGTTTGAGCCTGAATATCTCTTGAGATTAATTATCCAATTTTGGTGAAACAAAAATTAAATATAAGCTGGTTTAAATACATTTTACGTGGTAGCAATAAAAAAAATCCGTTTACCAGTAAAAGTTATATTGTTGAAAGATCCTAAAAGTACCGGTTTTTAAGAAACTCTGCACTAACACTGAAGTTTAAAACTTAATTGTAAACAAACCACTGAGCCAATCTTTCTGAAATTTGTATGGCTTATTGGTAGATTTATTCTTAACAGTTCCATGCATTTTAAAATTTTTACTCACATTAGTTTTTATGCTGATGTTTATTTTTAAAACGTATGCTTACATAATAAGACGCTAAAAATTTCGTTCAAAATATCATCGTGTTTGTCGTGACACAAGAAATAACACCAATATGACAGATTAATAATGTGAATGCAGAAAGATGTTTTTTAAACAGATATATATTTGTAAACAAAAATTTCTCCCGCAACTGGCAGGCCGATTGGCTCAGTGGTTTGTTTACAATTAAATTTTAAACTTTGGTGTTAGTGCAGAGTTTCTTAAAAACCGGTACTTTTAGGATCTTTCAACAATATAAATTTTTGTGGTAAACGGATTTTTTTTATTGCTACCACGTAAAATGTATTTAAACCAGCTTATATTTAATTTTTG